CTTGCTTGGTCTTCTGTCCTGTCCAATGTTCACTTCTTCATTGCCTTCTCTTAGCCAGTCAGTTCTTTCCTATTCACCACTTCATCTTCCTTGCCTTTACAGCTTCCTCATTACAAACTAGCACATAAAAGCCCAGAAACACATCAATTACACAAAAAGAGATCATCAAATATTTTAGGAAGTGGGAAGTTATCCTCACAGTGACAAGACAAAAAAAAAATCACCTTTAGATTTAATTCAGCCAACTTAAGAATTACCGATAAAGGCTTCAGTTATATGTGTGCCCAGCACTGTGTTAAGTAGGAGAGAGGGATGAGAAGAGGCAGAGAGTACAACAAAAGGAAGGAATGGGTTGCAGTCCTCCTTTTCAAGAGACTTGCAATCTTTGGTGAAAAAAGACACGCATGCATTAGGCAACAACCGTAACTAACGGCTAATTATTTTGAAGGGCTTTCTATTGCCAGCCAAATTTACACATTATTCTGTTTAATCCTGCATGGTTGCACATTAGTTATCTATTGTTCCATGACAAATTACCATAAAACATAATGACTTAAAAATAGATATTAATATTTATTATCATGAACACTACCCCCACCAATAAACATTTTTTATCCTTTCTGTGGGTGAAAAATTTGATACAGTTGATTGGGGTACAGACACCTGAAGGCTCAACTGGGGCTGACTCACATGACTGGCGGTTGATGCTGGTTATTGGCAGGAAGTCTCTGTTCCTCTCCATGTTGATCTCTCCAGGGAGCTGCCTAAATATCCTCATGATGTGGTAGCACATAGTACCACATTCTTGTCAAGGAACCTGGAATCAGGTAGGGAGAACAGACACATAGAGTCTCTGGGGAAGGAAAGAAAAGCACAAAAGACTTCAGGCAAGGAGTTCTGCCATGTTCTGGAAATAAGTGAGGAAGGAAGCCTGTGTGACTGGAGTAAATTGAGAGAAGGAAATAACAGTAGGAAATAAGGTCAGAGAGGTAAGAGTTCATGTGGTCAGCAGATGACATAGCACCTTGCAGGTTGTAGATCATGAGGACTTTTACTTTGAGTGAAATGAGAAACTCCTGGAGGGTTTGGAAGAACAACATGATCTGGCTTGGACTTGAAAGATTCATATTGATCACAAAATTCTGAACAGACTGCAGAGGGGACAAGACCAGTTCAGAGGCTACTGCAATAATCCAGGGAAGAAATGGTAGCAGTTTGTACCAGGATGGTAGCAATGAAGTTGGAGAGAAATAGCTGGATTCTGGATACATTTTAATGCCAATAGGCTTTGTTGATGGACTGAATGTGGGTGTGAGAGGAAGAGAGGATGAATCCAAGATTCTGGGCCTCAGCATCTGAAAGAATGAAGTGCTTTTTACCTTTTAGCAGTGTGTGCTATACTATTAAACACTTTAGCTTTTGCTAACTTTAATCCATGATGTAATCAAGGACCTAAGTTTTCAGTCTGTACAGTGTTTGTGTTCTGTTATTCCTGGGCTTGTCTTCCCAGGATTGTAAGATGGTTATAGCAGCTTTAGGCCCAATATTCTTAAGATTATACCAGGAAGAAAGAAAAGAAGCCTTCTCTTATTTCTCTCTCATTTTGTAAAAATTTTATTGACTTGTACCTCTTTTTTAGAAAAAACCTTTCCTATAAAGTTTCCTTCCCCTCCATCATTCCCTGCAAAAGATGACTTCCATTCAGTATCAATAGCTAAAATTCCACCATATGCTCATGTTTAAACTAATTTTTGATTAGGGTATGGGCCCACCATGATAGACTTATATCCATCATAGCTTACTCCCTGGGTCTGGAGTTGAGCCTCAGCATTCTTCAAACACACAGCCATGCATAAGAAAGTGGTTATTTGATAAATCAACAGGGTAGAAGGGAGAGTACTGGTTTTGGGGGCAGGCAGTCAGCAAAATCTATTACACCATTCTAAGGAATTTGGACTATATCCTATTAGAATAAGGAACCACTGAAGGATTTTAAGTCAAGAAACAGCATGAATGGATTTCCATGAATGGAGGGGCACTTAGGGGAACATGGGTTGGAAGACTTCATCAGAAGACATTGAAAAAGATTTCAGGCACTTGATTAAGAACACTTAGTGACCAACTGGATGGAAATGGGGAAAGAAAGTAGAAGAAAGGGATTCCAGAATAACTCTCACACAGGTTTTTGCTTGGGTGAATCAAGATATTTTGTCAAACATGGAAATATGGATGGAGGGGGTTTGGATGGATGTGGTGGGAATGGAGAGAGAATAAGTTTAGTTTTGAATAATGAGGTGTCTTAAAAACACATGAAGAGAGACAAGTAAGCGTGAAAGAGTGAAGATCATCTTACTTGAAGTGTAGGAGGAAGGAACATTGATAAGGGGAAATGAAGTAATGCATGTTACTGAAACCTAGTATGAATAGGTTTGGCTGATTTTGCTCAGGGTTGTGCATCAAGTGCATCTGGAGAAAAATTTGAATGTAATTGTAGACAAGCATTTAAAGAGCAGTTAAAATGTTTTTTGGAATATGGACTTCTATATTTGCTTCAACATGAAATTGAGATATAGCAAATAAAAAGAGAGAAATGGTCTCAATTTGACCGGCTGACTGGAAACCTCAGAACTTAGCCCTGAGAGCTATTAATCAGATAAGCATTGCAAGTTTTTGTAAAGAATCCTGCTTAACAAATGCCTGAGGGCATATGGGTTTATTAAAGGAAGCATTGTCCAAATGAAACTGTCAAAGAAAGTTTTACAAGAAAATACCAATGAGAAAGTTTGGGGGTTAAAATGTAGGTTTCTTTTCTGTTTTATGACAGTAGTTATTTACATCCTCTAATTTTAGAGATTGTTTCAATGAACTTTTGAGTTTTAAGTTATAATTAGTTATAATTATAAGTTGTAATATAGTTCATAAACTATTAGTTTATGAAATAGTGATAGTAGTAATTCTATTTCTGCTCAAAAGCACACATTTTTGGAGAACATCAAAGTTTGAAATATACATAGATTTAGAACTCTCAGAAGACAATTTCAAGAAGTTTTTAAAAAAATTCCAAAATATTTGTTGAGTTCTTTCCATTTCTACCTTATTTTAATCATTGAGCAGGGCTGTCAAATAATAAAAAATATCTGATATTTGTATAATTTTGTGGTCAATCCCAACTTGAAGTAGAGTGAGGATTTAGAGACAGAGAAAAAACAGAAATGAGAATAGAAGAAGAAGAAGTGACAAGTTAGCAAACCACTTATATTAAGACTGTAGTGGAGGGAAAAAGCAATAGTCATGAGAGACTGAATCTACAAACTAGAAAACTGGCAGATTATAAATAGCAACTAGAACCTGCCCCACACACTTGGCAGCAGAACCTGATCAATGACTGTCAGCTTCTCTATTTTCTTTTTATTTTTTGCCATTCTCACCTCTAACTTAGGACCAACTAGAGACAGCCAAATATGCTCCCCCTAACCAATCACAAAGATGCCTGCTCCTAGTTAGCTTTCAGCTTCCCCATACTAATGCTCCCAATTAAAGTTATACATGAACACCTCCCTCCACCTGTCCTTCTCTATTAAGCTCCCTCACTTCCCTGATAGCCTTTGAGTCTCTGCCAAATTCAAGTGACAGTGACAGACTCCTGATTATGGCCAATTTTGAGTAAAATACCCTTTGTTCTCATTTGAGTGCTCTTCACCCCTCAAAACATTTATTTCTTCATTTATCATACATTAGTCCTGTTGTATATGCCAGATAGTGGCCAGCTTTGGGAATATGAAGAGGCAGACAGTCCTGCCCCTAAGGATATTCTGGCTAGCGGGACAAACAGACACATAGATATAATTGTAATTCAAAGTGGTAAGGGGAACCATAGGTATGTATAAAAGAAGTGTAGGTCAGGTAAGTCTTTTAGAAGATGACCCTTAAGACAAATGACAAGGGATAAGCTGAGTTGGTCTGGCTAACAGGCAGAGAAGGGGTGCGTGGAGAGAGTTATTGAAGGTAGGCGACGGGTTGCAGAAGATGCGATTGGGCCGGGTCATGGAAGGATGAAAACGTGACAGGTTGCGAAAATCTTTTTTTTTTTTAATTTTTTATTTTACATGACTTTATTTTATATTTAGAACCATTTTATGCTTTAGTTTTTTAAAAAAAGACTCACTCTTGCTTTTAATATTTCTAAAAGCATTTTAACCAAAATCTTGATTTAGGAAGACTTAAGACATTGTGCATTACTTTAAATATTTTCATTCTTTCAATAACTACTAAAAATAAGTTCACAATTAGGGTTTCAAATGTCAGGTTGCGAAAATCTTAAGTCTTTATGTTGTCCAAGCGACTCCCTCGGGGAAATAAGAGAGGACTGGGGAAAGCAAAGAAGACTAAAAACATTTAGATTCTTAAGCTCCAGGAGGGCAGAGACCCAAAAGCTCGTAATGGGTGGCACACGTATTGAAAGCATTTTGAATGGATGACCACAAGTACTTTAATGAAGACATCGTCTAGGATTTATGTTTTCCCATGCGACAGGACATCACTTTTGGTGGGCTATAGGGAAGGTTTGGGAGAACAGCCATTCTGTCAGGGAAGGATGGTGGGCACGAAACCTCCAATGGGTTGTGGGCATGGGATGCACTTCTGTCGCGAACACCCTGAGACCCACCAACCCGAGCACTAGGTCCTAGGAACAGCTGTGGAGAGTGACCCGTAGTGAACTCGCGCCACCGTGAGGGCAGGCCACACAGCGTCTCCCGGCATCTTTCACCTGTGCGCCCATCGCCCGCCTTTCCAGGCGGAGACTCAACACGACGCCTTTCCGATTGGACGTGGCTGGAAATCCCGGGGCGGGCATTAGATGCTGTGCGCTCCTGGGGATTGGCCATTCTGGCGGATGGACGTGCTGCCGGCGCAGCGGGTTCGCCCTTCGCTCTGGCTGCGTAGGGGGCGGGCCCGTCTCCCGGGTCCCATGTCACTCATTGGCTCCGTGCGGTTTCCTTGGGGACGTGGCGCCGCCGCCGGCACGGGCCCTCCTTCCGGCTGGGCTGGAGGCTGTAGGAGCAGCTGTGGACACGGCGGATCCGAGCGGTGCAGAGGGACCGGCGGGCCGCTCGATCCCGTGAGTGGGAATGCAGGAGAGCTGCGGGACCGGGGGAGACGGGGAGAGGAAATGGGGACCCTCTCTTCTTGGGGATTGCAAATTCCTCGAAGACGGAGCTGGCCCACGGGAACGCTCCACTTCCAGATCTACCCGGATAGGGGGTCCTCTGGGCCTAAGGAATGAGAGAGGACAGACACGGAGTGGGAGCCGGGGAATGGGTGGGAGATGTGGAATTCTCGTGAGGGTCTAGTCTCGTGGGCACTGCTGGAGGTAAGCCTGAAACCCAACCAACTCTTTCCAGGCTGCAGACTTAGGAGATGCCTGGGACAAGGAATCCACCTTCTCAGGTCAAAAGAAAAAGGAGGTGACAGACCACTGAAGGGAACCCATGGCTAGGTAAGGCTGCACACTTTCTCCCTGATTGGGGACTTCAATGGAGGATGGCAGGAGGACCGTGGGGAGGGGATCCTGAGACAATTATCTATGAGGTCTGCCCTGAGGCTGCACCTAGACTTTGCTTCCTGTCCAAGAGTATGCAAAGATGGTCAAAGCTGTGTTTTTTTTGAAGGCAGGTGCAATAGAGAATTTTCATCCCGAGACGCTAGGATTGTAGAGGGAGTTTGTTCTCTCAGCTCTGAAAAGTGCTAGATTGTAATATTCTTTCAGATTTCCATCTGAGTGAAGCTAAATGTACCTTGAGGAAGTTAAACTGGCATTGTTTTTTGAATCACTATAGAAAGTGAACTTCACAATTGAACACAGTTATCCATATATTATAATTCTCTGAAACTTTTTTTTTAAAAAAAGATAAATGTAGATCTACATAACCCAATATGGGACGGTTGCAAAAGAGAGTGAAGGAAAGAAGCAGAACCATTTTTTGTGCTACCATTTTTGTAAGACCAAGGGAATGGGCACACACACACACAGATATTACCACATGTATTGCTATGTATTTATGCTTGTGTAGCCATAGACTATTCCTGGAAAGATACATTGAAAGGCCGTAGCAGTGGTTACCTCTTAGAGAGAGAGGTGGTAGGGTCAGATCAAAAGATTCACTTTTCACTAAATTTTGAACTGTTTTATTTATTTATTTACCACGTGAATATATAACTTATTAAAACATTTAAAAAGTAAGTTGAGTAATTTTTCTGACTATCCAGTTTCTTGTCAGCGTCCCTGGTGGTAATGTTGTAGTTGGTCTGATTCTCCAGTGTTATAAGTTCCTACAGGAGCTTGGTGATCTTTTCATTAATATGAGATTAATTCTTTGAATTGCACACAAAAGTACAGAGTTTGGAAAGAGAAGATAAGACTTTTCTGATTTGCATAGAAGCACCATGAACAATATAGGTCCTTTTTTAAAATTTGAGATTAAAACAATAGACTTTTTCTTGGCTTTTTTTTTCTTTATTAGGAGGGCTTTTATCCAATTTAAAACCCATTTTAAGCACTCAATCTTGGAGACTTTTCAGGCTTAATTTATGTTTTTCTCATTTCAGGATCAGTTTTTCCTACCTCTGCCCAGCTTCCTGGTACTTCACTGTGCCCACAGTGAGCCCATTTCTCCGTCAGCGGGTAGCATTCCTGGGGCTCTTCTTCATATCCTGTCTCCTTTTACTTATGTTAATCATGGACTTTCGACATTGGGGTGCATCATTACCAAGAGATAGGCAGTATGAAAGGTGAGTCAGCTTTACATCACTGAGCTGCGTTGGCACTGAAGTCATTGACATTTTGATAAGCTGTTTAACATACTACTACCTTTGGCCCTTTGGGGGGATATTGTACTTTTAATAGTAAAGATTGCATGTTATTTATTATTTAAGAAAAATCTTAGGCTCCATTTTGTCTGTGTTCAGTTTTAATTCAGAAATGCTGATACTGCCTTTTAATCATGAAAGGCATCTTTCTGTTTTCTTGTTTTGGTGGGCTGACTTACTGGGTGCATAAATGTTTAGGATTTTTGTGCATCCTTGATGAATTGATCCCTGTACTGTTAAATGATTCTCTTTGTCCTTGATTATATTGTTTGCTCTGAAAGCTACTAATCTGGTATTATTACAACTGCTTCAGCTTTCTTTTGATTAATGTTAGCATGATTGATCTTTAGTTTGTGCTCTTAATTTTAGCCTATATTTGTCTTAGTATTTAAAGTGGGCTGCTCCTAGTTACTGTTTAGTTCAGCCTCACTTTTTATCCAGTCTGACAATCTCTGCTTTTTAAAAAATATTTATTTTTTAGTTGTAGTTGGACATAGTACCTTTATTTTTATTTATTTATTTTTATGTGATGCTGAGGATCGAACCCAGGGCCTCACATGTGCTAAGCAAGTGCTGTACCACTGAGCCACAACCCCAGTCCCAATCTCTGCTTTTTAATTGGGGTGTTTAGGCCACTTACACTTAATTATTAATTGAGTTTAATCTGTATTGCTGTTTGTTTTCTATTTGTCACATTTTTTTCATGTTTCCTCTTTTTTTTTTTTTCAATTTTTTTTTTTAGTTGTTGATAGACCTTTTTTTTATTTATTTATATGTGGTGCTGAGTGCCTCAGTCTTGGCTGGGCACAAGATCACGAGCTACCACACACCTTTGTAGATTGAAACAGCAATTCTTTATTCCCGAACTCACACCGGCCTCTACACAAACACGTTCTGGGGAAATCCGAGTTCTGCCCGTCAATTCACGTCCCAAAATACTTTCTCAATTCCACAGGAACTCAGGCAGCAGGAACGCCCTATACCCAGCAGCAATAACCTTAAACCTGGAATTTGCCTAAACCCAGATTGTCTTAAACCCAAATTATCTTAAACCAGGATACTTCCTAAAACCTGCAGGATACACCTTAAACCTGGATCCACCCTGGTCCTTGAGCAGGGTCACCTTTCTCAAAGACACATGCAGTGTCACAGCAAATTTCCATTTAACATGGGGTACGCTGGCAAGGAAATTTCGATGCGTCATTCCTACTTGGCAATGGCCCTCAGCATCTGAGAACCGAACCCAGGGCCTCACACATGCCAGGCAAATGCTGTACCACTGAGCCCCAGCCCCAGCCCTTTCCTCTTTTCTTTTTTTAAAATTGAGTGTATATTTTTTTCTGATTACATTTTATCTCTTTTGTTTTCTTAAAAGATATAACTCTTTTTTAAAGTGATTGCTTTAGGTTTTATAGTATACATCGTGAACTTACCAGAGTCTATTAAAGTAATATCACACCTCTTCACAAATATTATAACAACCTAACAGTAGTATACTTTCATTCCTCCATTCCCCTGAGTCTCTGTGCTACAGCTGTCGTACATTGTATTTCTTACGTATAACTTCCACATATGTTGTTATTATCTTTGCTTTAAACAGTCAATTATCTTTTAAAGAGATTTTTAAAAATAAGAAAAAAAAGACTTGAATATTTACCCATGTATTTACTATTTCTGGGTTCTTCATTTTTTTTGTACAGATCTGTATTTCCATCTGGTGTCATTTCCCTTTTTTTCTAAAGAATTTTCTTTCAATTTTTAGCAGAGTAAGTCTGCAGGTGATGAATTTCTTCAATTTTTGTATGACAGAAGAAATCCTTATTTTGTTTTCCTTTTAAAAGAAATATTCATTGGTTGTAGAACTCTAGGTCAATTGGTTTTTTCCTTTGATTTTAAAGATGATGCTCTCTTGACTTTTGGCTGGCATTCTTCTTGTGGAGAAGTCTGCTGTCATTTTTGTCTTTCATCTTTCTGTATATGTTTTTTTTCCTCTGACAGCATTTAAGATTTTCTTTCTTTTCCTTCCCTTTATTTCTTCCTTCTTTTCCATCTTTCTTTTGACTGAGGATTGAACCCAGGGGTGGGTGCTTTACCACTGAGCTACATCCCCAGTCCTTTTAATTTTTTTTATATTGAGACACTAAGTTGCTGAGACTGGCCTTAAGCTTGCTATCCTCCTGCTCCAGCCTCCTAAGTCACTATGATACATGTGTACACCACTGTGCCCAGCCTTTTAAGATTTTCTTTTCTTTCTATAGGCACCAGAGATTAAACTCAAGGCACTTAACCACTGAGCCATATCTCCAGCCCTTTTTTATTTTGAGACAGGATCTCGCTACATTGCTTAGGGCCCCACTAAGTTGCCGAGGCTCACCTAGAATGTGTGATCCTCTTGTCTCAGTTTCCCAAGCTGCTGGGATTACAGGTGTGCACCACTGTGACCAGCTAAGATTTTCTTTTTATCACTGGTTTTAAGCAATTGGATCATGATGTGCTTTGTTATAGTTTCCTAAATAATTTGTGATTCTTATTTGGGAGAAACATTTGCTGAGAACTTGCTGTGTGCATGGTGATACAAAGATAAAGTGTGGTCCTTGGATTTTTGGATCTACGGATTTGTAGTTTTTAATCAAATTTGGAAAAAGTTTGCCAGTTATTTCTAAATATATTTTTCTTTCCTCCCAGTTCTCCTTTGGGGACTCCAGTTGCATATATATGGAGCCATGTAATATTTTCCACAGCTCACTGATTATCTTTTTTCCCCCCCAGTAGGGTTTTTTTTCCCTGTGTTTGATTTGGATATTTTATTGCTGTGTTTTCAAGTTCATTAGCACTTTTCTTCTGTAGTCTAATCTACTGTTAATTCTACCTGGTGAAAACTGAATACCTTTTTTCATGGAAAACTCATCTGAGTTACTTGACATTCTTTCAGTGCCATACCAATTGCACAGAAGATCTGCATTCTTTTATTTTTTTTTTTTATTTTTTATTTTTTGCATTCTTTTATAACAGTGATTTATTTATTTGTCTTTTTTTTGTGGTTAGTTTCTGCAGAAGCTACAAAATTAAATGATGGCATGTTGTGTTCATCATCTTCAAAATGAATTTCTAATTTATTTTAGAATTTTCTTTTCCTTATTGCTCCTCAGATATGTATCAGGAGACTTCAGGCAGCAAGTAACAGCCAAAACTGACTTAAATAATAAAAAAGTTTATTGGCTTACAAAACCAGAAGTCCAGGGATAGAGGGACCACAAGTTCAACATTGGCTAGCAAGATGGGAATCTCTGTCTCCTCTCTATTTTCCACAAAGTCAGCTAGTTTAATGGTTGCAAAACAGCAGTCAGTAGCAAGCAAAGCAACATGCATCCTCACTCATGTCCTGTGGGCGAGAGGAACAGGTGCTCCATGGCCCTCTTCTGAGAATGAACTACCTTCCCATAAACCTTGAGCAACCCTTTCCTTGAATCTCTTTTGGTCAGAATTGAGACACATGCCTACTCTTCTTTTCGTTTTTGGGTGAATCTGTCCCCAGTATGTGTTTTCTATTAATTCTTGTCATTAATTCATTAAATAAAACTTTATTGAGCAGCCACTGTGTGGAGGTGATAATAGACATGAGGACAGGGAGACTTTGGTACCTTTCCTCAAGAAGCTCATGTTTCCCACCTTTCCTTCTGTAGCAGCGCTATTCATTTGTATTGTCTGAATCTTCCTTTCCTGAAGAGGAAGCACTGTTTGGGTGACTATAGTACTCAACAGTTGGCTTTAAGAAACCTGTTAACATTGGAGACCTAAATCCATAAGTTTAGTTTCTTTAATGCTTATTGGGATTTTCTTGACAAACCTAAGTACATTTTCTCACAGGAAAACAACATGGTCTAATTATGGAATTCCATATAGATTAGTTTATATGGCCAGAGAGACAATTAGGGAGTGAGTAGTGAGCTGTATAAATGGAGATGTAGATCAGGCTGGGTCTCCTAAGCCATTTTAGGGGGTTAGATATCATCCTAAGGATAGAGGGGAGGCTCTAAAAGATTTTTGAGAGTATTTTGATCTGACTTGCTTTTTGAAGAAAGCTCACTTTGGTGGCATTGTGAAGAATGAATTGGAGGGGAATAAAAGATAAAACAGAGAGACTAATTGGAATACTTCAATAGAGATGATGGTGTCCAGAACTTGGGTGGCAGAAACATGGATTGAGAGAAGTAAAAATATTTGAACCACAAGTGGGAGGAAGAGTGATTCAGTAGGTTTTTTTGTTTGTTTTGTTTTGTTTTGTGTGTGTGGTATTGGGCACCAAACCCAGGGCCTTGTGCATTGTAGGCTGACACTACACTGCTGAGCCATGCCACTGGACCCTGATCTGATAGTTATTATTTTCCACAGTATGCCAAGTGACCAGATTCAATAAATACTTATTAGGTTGAATTAACTGAAACAGCTGCAGAGCTGAGGAGCACACAGACTGCACATTGTAATGTCGTTATCCAAGTGTTAATATCCTGTAAGACTCTTGCACAGTAGCCAGCAGCCAGCAGCCACGTAGCCTAGGACTCGTTGTTATTTGCTGAGAGCCATTGCCAAGTAGGAATGACGCATGGAAATTCCCTTGCCAGCGTACCCCATGTTGCTTAGAGGAAGGACTCGTGGAAATGGACATTTGAAGTGACATTGCATGTATGTTTGAGAAAGGTGACCCTGCTCAAGGATCAGAGTGGATCCGAGTTTAAGGAGGATCCTACTGGATTAGGGCGGATCCAGGTTTAGGGTGTATCCTGCAGGTTTTAGGGAGTATCCCGCTCCTTGGTTCAGGGCGTTCCCGGTTTAGGACAATCTGGGTTTAGGGCGGTTCCAGGTTTAAGGTTATTCCTGCTGGGGATAGGACATATCCTGCTGCCTGAGTTCCCCGTTGAGTT